AGGGTAAATCCCATGCCTAAACATTATTGTTGTGTGTAGAGAATATGGAGCAAAAATCAGCAGTTCAAGCAGTACTATCAGAACAACTTTTCTAAGATTATAGTAAACAAAAGAACGTTAGAGTGCCTATGTATATCCATAAACATAATACAAAATATCAAGTGGACAAAAATTAACAATTGATGAGGTTAGAGCAGGGACCAGTTAGCAAGACTCCTAAAAGTAGATGGAGAGAAGATTGCTGTGTAAAATTAGTAGAAAAGCCTACAGAGAAATTATATCTGCTCCCTTTCCCATTGTTCCTATTATACTGTATCTATAGCAAGAAATTATATGTACCTAATATTTTCCTATTCCCTTTCATGTCCCTGGTAACACAATTCTATTTCAATGATAGTTTAAATAAATATTGTAATGACAACTTCAGCTCTTGGGAGTAATTTTGCTTTAGTGAGCCAGCAGCAAAGGCAATAATAAAAAAAGTTTCAGGTTAAAAGAGAAAAGGCATTACTCAAATACATTTTGGCAAAATTTTTAAGAATGCATATATTCATATACTCATCATAGTACACATATATGTATATATTAATATACATAGAGATAGCTTTATTTTATCAACTATATATAGGAAGCTATGTTATAAAATATAGTGGATTTTAGATAGTATAATTATATCTGCTACATTTTGAGTCCAGTAATACAATATTCACTTTTAAATTCTTTATTCTAACCTTTAGCAAGCACTGGATTGAGGTCATAAAGGATTTTTCTATCTTTGAATGAACCCTTTTAATTCTGAATAAATTCTAACATATTTTCTGAACACAAATAGTTAAGAGAAGGAAAAAAAAAAGTTCAGTGGGCTTATTTTGCCGCAGAGATTATGTTCAACCTGTGATTCTAGTGTATTTATATGAAAAAGAAGGAAAAATTAGAGCATCCACCATATTTATGAAAAAAAAAATCCAAGGGTAAAAAGTATTCCGGTGTCAAATCATCTTACTTCATTTTTCAAACATGCAGGCAAAAATAAGCAAATGTAAAGAGTGACATTCTGCTTTTAAAAAGCAATTCCTAGAGTTCATTGTTTTCTCTTCTTGTCTTTCTTTTTAACCCAAACACATGCAGTGGTAGAAATGAAAGCACTATGTCACTGTGCCCTTGTACTTTATGATGTTGTCTCCCCTGAACATTTTTTATTATTTTATTTCATGACAATAAAGTCAGTTCATGAAGGCTGTTGTCTATTTTCTAAGTTTGGGAGCTTCATAGTCTGTGTTTGTTTTACCTATTATTAAGATGATGCTGTCATTTAAAAAAATGAAAGGAACGTGCACTGTCAACTGTATCAGAGCCCCTAACAATGAAATATGGTCATACAAAAGTTAACTAAGGTATAAACATGCAAAAGGAGAAGTCTCCCTACGATCATAAAATGATGTTATTTTCTGTTCAGCAGTTCATGTTACTGCTGTTCATGCTAATTAATTAAAGGAGCTGTTGCAATAATGTGCAAACAGGGAATCTGAGAAACTGAGAGGGCTTTTAGGTCTCCAAGTGAAGTTAAGTCAATCTGGGCGCGGGCAATCAAATGTAATGAAATCACTTGTCAGTGCTAAGCTTGCAAAAACTGTGAAGTTTGACTAGGGAGTAAAAGGATTATAATTAGATTTCCAATAGGATAATAACTAAATGGCAGAATGCAGTAAAGAGAAAATATTACTTTGTTAGCTAATGGTATTGCTGTTCGGTTTTAGGTTTTATCAGCTCACTTGTAGTTGTGTTAATTTAATTTGCTTTTATCAGCAAAAATGTACTACGCAAATGGCACTTGAATGTCATTTGCAAAATCATTGATCTGAAGGTGCACTAAATGACACCCAGTATGTTTGTTTTATGTAAAATAGAGATTGGTGGATAAGATGGTTGATGTGTGATCTTGCAAGCCCACAACTGAGTGCCACAAATCTGAATAGGACTATAGTCACGTGCATACTCCACTAAATCCTTCACCCCAAGATATAGCGGAAACAGCCACTGCATGGAGTGTGTGTTCATTGTTTGATCACCTCAGAACACCTACGATAAATTGCTAAAATATAAGGAATGCATATACCCTTTTATTAAAAGATGGCCTACACATGATCAATATTGTTTGTGTAACAGCATTGAAATAGTAAGACAACAACTAAAAAGTGTTTGTACACACACACACACACATATACACACACACACACATATCTATACTATATTAAATCTACACAGATTACCATAAGGCTAACTCAGATTTCACTGTTTCTAACGATGCACATGTAACATTTTTCCAAGTCTCCTTTAGATTTTCTTCAAGAGATGTCACAGTGGAACAACTACATGAACTTCAAAGGGACAACACTAAGTGAATGATAGACTTCTATCCAGCAGAGCTATTGACAATGGGAACAGAAGGGACTTCACTGATGCAAGGATTTTTTGCTGTGATAAAGGTGAATTTTGAAAATGGCATTGCACCAGCATGCACAAGTCAACCTCACAAATAATAGGCTTTTTCAGTTTAAAATAGAAAATTGAGTGAGATGGCAAAGATGAAAATATTATCAAAATAAATCACAAAAAAAGTTTAACACAAAAATTAGGGAGAATGGACACAATAATGACTAATCTTGCATTTTATGTTTTTCAAGTATATCTTCTCTGAGATTCATGGATACCTATAGAAGAAATCTTACTGAATTCTGAGCATCTCAAAAAAAGCCAAAATGACTGTATTGTTTTAGGTAATTATCTGATGTTATTGATTAAGTGATCTGTATTTTGAACTGGTACTAATAATATTTTCAGTCACCTACTCCACTAAGGAAAAAAAAATGTTGCTCAACAATAACATCTTTCTGATTGGAAATTGTCATTTCACTCATATAAACACAAGATATTCACTCTAGTTTTTCATAAAGTGATGATAAGTGAGCATTTTATCATTAGCAGTGCTCCTATGTTGTATTAAGTGAAGGAAGATGTCTATTTTTCCATTTTTGTCACATTTGCCAAAATATTAGTTGATATAAACTAAAAGCTAGATTTTGAAAAGGAAATGATTAAATTACCACATTTTATCATGAATGGATAATATGCTCCACAAATACTAGACCGATGTGTAATATAAGACTTGATTTTCTTGCTTTATATGTTTTATCTCAATCATTTTAGAAGTGTATCTAATCTTACGTCTGCCATTAGGTACTAAGCCTCATTATTATAAGTATGTTCAATAAAAATAAATATTAAATGTGTCTTTCCCTAAGCACAAGCTTTTATACAGAACTCACGCTATGTGAACAACATAGAAACAAAATTAGTTGGAGTCCGATGGAGACTGAATGTACTTTCACTTATGTCACCTAATTGACTGCCCATGAACACAACATCTGTTTCCTGTTGAATAGAAATGAAGTAGCTTTAGGGACAGTGCAAAAGCTTATATTTGTCACAGAGTTGGAAAAGATGTTGCTGAAGACAGTCTGAACTGGGTAGTGTGTTGGTTTTCTCCTCCAATTTTAAAATTGATTTCACGTCGTGCTCAAGGCAAGGATACAACCAAACTCAATGATGCCAAAGGATCCTCAATGATCCTCAATGATCCTCAATGATCCTCAATGATCCTCAATGATCCTGTGTCTATCTTTTTGTATTATTTATTCAGAAGGGCTCCAATTCTTCAGGGAATTCATTTCTATCATGGTTTTATGTGGTGGACACCTCAAATATCAGGCCCAGAACCAATGGGATTTTCTTCCTGAGTTAGCTGTGGCGAATTCATTGTAGATATACTGAATCTCATTCAGATTAGCTTTTCTCACCTAGTCACAGCCTCTAAAATGATGGAAGAAAGCGGGCAAGCGAAAATTGATATGCAGCAGAAAAAGCATCATTGAATAATCAAGAATACCCATAGGCCTTCCCTCACTGCAGCAGAATTAGCCACAGTCAGAAGATCCATGAGCCATAACTCTTCTGATTCTGTAAAGGCAACTTGCAGATGTACTCAATGTATATTTGGGGAGGGAATTCTCCATTTTCTGAAGCTTAGCTGAACCCAGATGGATTTTTTTCACCACATTTAGTTCTGTTGCCCTAAAATAGATCAACTCATCATAACATAGGAAAACACCAATTATTTAAACTTCCAGCCAACAACAAATCCATGGTTGACTTTGTATTTTTAAGGTTAGGAACAAGTTTTCTTGTGGAAATTTTTTTTTTAATTAGGATGAGACAACATTTCATAAAATAAATGCAACTTTCATATAAAGGCCAAGACAATTATACAATGATCACAGTGAAAGTTTCCAGTGATCAAATTCAATTCTAATTTTTGGATGTTTTTTCACTCCTATGAGACTCTAGGTTGATTTTTTCCACTTGTTTAATTAATATACTTTTAAACATTTTAAGCAATCTAAAACATTCATGGAAATCTTCTAAATCATGAATTACAATATATATTCTTATTTCCACATTTACATGGTTTTGAAAATTGGCAACAAAATCCAAAGTTTATATGTTGTTTAGAACAACTTTAAAGTACTGAGAACTTATGATTTTTATACTTGTGACTTTCACAAAAAGTAAAGCAGTGTACTTGAATGAAAATAGAAGAATTTGTATACTTTTCAAAGGCAATGAATTTCCATTTATATGTTATAGAATATGCCTAAAAATTAATCGTATCATTTTATCAGGTAAATGTTTAAGACATCTGCTCACATTGTATATGAAAAATTACTAGTCTCCAAGTTTTCATACTGATACTGGGATTTCAAAGTCATGTTAAGTATTTTTTTTCTTAATATTACAACATTTAACTTGTTTCCTATAAAAATGTAGAGAGTGAAACTGATTTATTTTATCTGAATGAGCTATACCGACATAAGAGTTTATCCCCAAACAACTCTGGGTCATACAGCAAGGAACTGTAGAAAGAATTATGTGATTTACTATACCTTGCATAGCAGCACTATCATGAGGGGTCCCGTTGTTTTCAAGTTCAATATCTTGAATTCCAGTATCTGAAAGAAGTGACATTCAAGATTAAGATATAATTTTGCATTTCTTGAGTCAACTTAAAAGGAATACTCTAGTGAGCCAGTGTTCAGTCCCTATAGATGATGCATAATTTGAGGTGGTGTTTTTTTTTTATTTTTGTAGGTTTGTTTTTAATAGTAGGATATGATTCCCCAGTACACAGTAAATGGTATTTTGTTTCATTTCCTGAAGAATGAAAATAACCAATGGATTATAAGAGTATGCTAAGAATATCAGATTCATGTAGCTGGACTTTGGAATAATAGCACTAAAAAGAAGATGGCAGATACAACTGTGAAAGTGGAAGTCCCTCACCTTTATGCGTATTCCTTTTGTAAATGACGGATGATTATATTATCTGTATGCTAAGAGTAACTGCGTACTAAAACAACACCGTGGCTTATGATCTTTATGCAGTATTTGCTCCACAGGCAAATATTTTACTATTCTGCTCTTCAGATTAAGTTTCAAAAACAAATAGTGAAACAATTTGTGTGTGTGTGTGTGTTAGAGAAAGAGAAAATTTATTTCAAAGTGGCCTGGTTAAATGAAAGATAGTGTGGTGTTCTGAATTTAAAATGGAATCTGAGAACTCTAGAGTTAAGCTACTTCACAATGTATTCATCTCTTTCCACAGGACTTCTAATGGAATTGCTTAGAATGTTCTTTCTCAATCAGGCATTCATTCAGTACTATAACACTGGAGTAATTCTCATTAAAGGAATCAGTGTCCTTTAACAAATGAAAACAGAGTTCGCCAAATGTCAGCATATTCTAACAAGAATGGGCATAAAGCACTAACCACTTAGATACAGTAATATCCATGATAATGTTTGTATTGCAAAAATCAGCTGATTTCCTGTTATTTTTAGGTCACTTGTGCGTCCTAGAAAAGGGATTATTTTGATGAATTTAATCTCTGACCAAAAACATGGCTTCCAATTGATTTTCTAATCATACTAGGACAAAATCTACCTCAAAATCGACCTTACTCTCTACCCTCTTCCCTCCTTTCCTTTCTTCCTTCCTTCTATCCATTATTCCATTTGTTTCCCTTCCCCCTCCTTTTCTCTCCCTTCCTTCTTTTCCTTACTCCCTTCCCTTCTTTCTCTTACTCATCTTTTCTCTTTCATTTCCTTTTTCTTCCTATCGTTCCTTCTTTCATTCATTTCTTTCTTTTTTAAAAGTTGATTATCTCTTAGCTCACCCTGACTCTGAAAGAATGAATCAGAAATTACCTTTCAGCATCCTCAGCCCACTGTCATTAGCAGTGGCTTTAAGTGCCTGCTCGACTTGCTCTCGGCGCTTGGATTCAAATTCCAAGGCTTCCTGAAGTTTTCTCTTGGCTTTTTTCTCCTTCTTCAGGCGCTTTTGCATGGTAGCTAAAAAATAGTTTGTGAAACGTTAGTTTCAAAAAGCTGTTCAATGCAACAAGCTGTCAGTTTGAATGATTTATACACCAGAGATACAGGTACATATGCAGAAAGATACAATTATTGTTGAACAAATGCTTGGTTTCTGTCCCCCTGACTCTCATTAGTCTCACCCAATGAGCATTTGGTATATAGAAGTTCAATCACGCAAATAACTACTTTGTTGTCACAATTCTAGTACCTATGCCCCACAGTAGTCATACAGGTGCTTTTGTTAGATGGTAGCAGTAGGGAGAATTATTTTCTTTAAATCTCTTTAGCAACAGTATTAAATACTGGATAAGTATCTTTAAAAAAAAACATGTATTTTATTTTTATTGGAAATTCAGGTATACAGAGAGGAAGAGAGACAGAGAGAAAGATTTTCCATGCATTGATTCAATCCCCAAGTGGCAGTAACAGCTGGTGTTGAGCTAATCCTAAGCCAGGAGCCAGGAACCTCTTCTGGGTTTCCCAAGCGGGTGCAAGGTCCCAAGGCTTTGGGACATCCTCAACTGCTTTCCCAGGCCACAATCAGGGAGCTGAGTGGGAAGCAGGGCCACCAGGATTGGAAACGGAGCTCATATGGGATATTGCCATGTGCAAGGTAAGGAATTCAGCCAGTAGGCCACCATGCCAGACCCTGGATACTACTTGGGCCAGGCACAGTAGCCTCATGGCTAAAGTCCTCACCGTGAACCTGCCTGGGATGTCATATGGACAGTGGTTGTAATCCTGGCATCCCTGCTTCCCATCCAGCTCCCTGCTTGTGGATTGGGAAAGCAATGAAAAATGGCACAATGCCTTGGGACCCTGCACCAGCGTGGGGACCTGAAAGAGGCTCCGGACTCCTGGCTTCAGATTGGTGCAGGTCCAACCATTGCAGTTACTTGGCCAGTGAATCATCGAATGGAAGAGCTTCCTCTCTCTTTCTCCTCCTATCTGTATATCTGACTTTCCAATGTAAATAAAATAAAATGAAAATGAATGATATTACTTATTAGGCTTTTCATATTTATATTCAAGACAGAAAATAACCTGAAAGTATTGTGTTGCAAAACATGATCATTAAAAGTGTAAGTGGAAAACTGTCTAGAATATTACCCAATATAAAGGAAAAAATATATATATATACATAAATTTAAGTAATGAACATATCAGTTTATCTCTATTTGTCATCTTCACATATACACACATTTTAAGAATAACTTCCAGCCACTATTCTATAAGCAAGCTTTAAAATCAAAATCACAATGATGGGCTTTTTCTGGTAAACAGAAAAGTTAGAGAAAAGACAAAGAGCAGCTATGCTTACACTCCTCAGAGGCTTCAGGTCTTAACTAAAGCCTACACTCCCTAATGCCTCATTGTGTATAAACTTGGAAGCCTTGTGTAAACTCTGAAACCTTGAAATCGGAGAGTTTCTCAAACAGGATTAGTGGGTTTCAACAACAAATTGCTTCATAGCAAACTTTTAAGAAGTCCAAATTTGACATTTTTTTTTCTAAACTCATATTTTAAAATTAAGACAGTGATGTTACGGCAATAGAAAAGACACTCAAGGAATATCAAACAAAATAAACCGCATGAGAATTTTTAAATGTTTTTCGCAGTGGCAGATATTCTGTAGTGGCTAAGACGCCTCTTGGGATGCCTGCAGCACACATAGCATTGCCTGGTTCGTGTCCAGAAAGAACTTTCAATAATCCAGCATCCTATAATGAGCTTGAGAGGCAGCAGCTGATGGCCCACGCACATGGATTCCTGACAGCCACAGTGGAGACCTGAACTGAGTTCCAAGCTCTTACCTTTAGCCTGTCCAGCTCTGACACCTCTGGAAGTTTGGGTTGTGAACTACAGTTGGAAAATCTGTCTCTCTCTATATCTCATATATTTCTGTCTCACTGCCTTTCAAACCAAATGAAAATATAGTTCTAAGATGTTAAGTGTGTTCATTGATAAAACATTTCAACGGAGGCGAATATATGTTTATGTGTTTCAATTGTATCTGTCTCAGAGTTCAAAGTATTTTTGAGTAAATGGCTTTTAGAGGCTTAATGAGAGACATTTACCCATACGAATTTCTGTTCACTTGAGAAAAAAAATATCAGAGGCTTAAGGCAGGAATGGGGAATGTCTGTTCTACCTACTGTTAAGGCCCATAAAATCAATTGGTCTGGCCCTACTAAGACAACTACAGGCAGGTCTCAAAATTCAGTAACTCTGTAGCGGAATAATTTTGAAATTAATAATTTTTCACTGCATGTGGATGATGTTATGAATATTCAAATGACCTTTGGCAGAAAATAAAGGTTCCCCACTACTAAAAAAAAAAGGAATGACAAAATGTGTACATATTTTCTGCTATTTTTGAATGAAGACTGCTGAATATGGTTTAGCTTAAGAGAGTTTTCCTGTCATAACTATATTTAAATCAAATAAAGCAACAAATTCTTTAAATAAGAAATTTGTATCTATTCAAATTAGTGCATGAATTCATTTCCTTGATAAAACTATGCATAAATAAATAACACTGTAATGAAAACACTGTTAGCTGCATTTTACAGATGAGGAAAGTGGGTCCTTGAGAAGTTAAGAAATTTACCCAAGCTTATATGAAACCTGAAGACCAGGGCTGGCTTTGTGATACAGTGGGTTAAGATGCTGTTGATTTCACCCAACATCCCCTATAGGAGCACAAGTTCGAGTCCCAGCAAAGCTGCTTCTAAACCAACATTCTGCTAATACACCTGAAAGAGCAGTGGAGGTTGAATTGATGCTTGTGCTCCTCTCATCCACTTTGAAGAACAGGCTAGTGGTCCTGACACCTGCTTGAAGCTGAAAAAGATCCAACTTCTACAACCATTTGGAGAGTTAATAAATAGGAGATCCATTCTTTTTCTGCCTAGCATTTCTCTCTCTGTCTCTCTCTCTTTCGTGTGTGTGTGTGTGTGTGTGAATGTGTGTGTGTGTGTGTGTGTGTGTGTGTAGTTTATGCTTCATCGTAAGAAGTTGTATTTACTGGGTATGTTGTATTTAAGGGCTTATAAAGAAATTCAAGTGATTATCTAGCACAAGTATTGCTACTATTTAGGCCCCTATGATTCATAACAATGTAGTAGATATTTTGTGTAAAAAACATGGAATAGCAGAGTAGTTTATTTTAATTGTGTCAGTCAACAGATGGAAAATGTTTAAGGGACAACAGATATCTATTATAAACAAAAACCTAAAGGTTCTATGAAATGTTGGCAAACAGAAATGAAAATGAGCCGATGTTTTATGTAGTAGAGTTTTATTAAAAATGACCCCATTTTCATATTTAACCAGCGTTTTTAAAAAAAAATTTTGGTATGCTAATTATATACAAAACTCCAAAATTTAAAAAGACGGCATAACTTTTGTATGTTGTACTTAATTAATTTGGCAAGATAAATAAAACAGGTTTAACTATTTCTATTTTTAACTTTCTTTTTATTTATAAGGCATGTGCACACATGTGTTTGCATGTGCACGCACACACACACAGTGAATCTTCCATCTACTTACCCAATCCACAAATGCCTCCAACGGCCAGCAGTGCTGAGAACTGCAGTTCAGATCTTCTACTTGGGCGGCAGGGTTTCAACTGTTTAAGCCATCACCACTGCCTCCCAGCACATGCATTAACAGTAACTAGAATCCAAATTGGAAATAGAACTCAAATGCAGACACTCTTATTTGGGATGTGGCATCCCATGTGGCATGTTAATCACTGAATCAAACACGTGCCCTTAATTTTAGATAGGGTAACTGGATTTCCATTTGGAATTGAATCAATGATTCTGGCCCTTTGAAAAATATGTAGTATGTTTGCAGTCTCTAGAAATAAATTTTGATGTGCAGTATATGAAATTAAATGTTGTACTACCTTTGAAATCAGTAAATCTCTCAAGAATAAGGGTGAGTTTTCATTTCATTACTACAACCTATCACTGTGTTCTGCCAAAAAGTAAGTATCCCTTTTTGTCAGAAACTAAGAAGTTACTAATTGTCAATGTAGTTCATGAAATTATGGTACAACTATGAATATTCATGATTCAAAATCTCCAAGTAGCCTCAAGTACAGATATAGGTTTCTGTCTTTGAGTATAATAATAATACTAAATTCTTATTGTGGCTTACCCATAGTATTTGTTGCTTAGTTTCCAATGTGTTTTCAATAATTCCAGGCTATATAGAAAGTACCTCTGACACACTATTCACTCTGCAATTAAACTTATCAAACTTACTTCTGCTTTGCAGCTCAACTGCAAGTTGTCTTTCAAGATTTTCTCTAATTTCTCTCTCTCTGTAGAGTTCTATTCGCAGTTCCTTCTTTTCTTGTTGAATCTGTTTCTCCTGGATACGAGCATTATCCAAAGCCACTTTCAGTAGACCCTGTAAAAGTACAAGAGATGACATGCAGTTCATCTTATTTGTTTTAATTTCTCAAATATGAAATAATTTATGTAGGTGCTAATGTCTTGTATTACATTTATTTTGTTTATAGAAATATTGTTGACCTGAATGTTGGTCAACAGAGTCTCCACGGAGGACAGACTATCAGCAAAAATGAATGGTCCAGGGAATCCAGGGGGCAATGCCTGCCCAGGAGTCAGCTGGATCTTGTCCAAGGGTGACTTCATCATTGGGATTTGAACTGGTACCTCTTCTGCAAAACAAAATTCATATCAGAGAGTTCCCAAATTGACATCTCAAAAGCTTCCATACAACATCTCTAGTAGACATCAATAAGACATTTTTTCTAAAACATAATCAGACAACATAATATACAACATAATCAGACATCATGCCTGCATTCCATCTGCCTCTAAATAAATGTTCCAATAAATAACTCAAGAAGGTGAAATGACGATAATTGCTAAAATGGCATTAATTATGAAGAAACCAATTTAATAAGTATTTCTATCTAGAAATTAAATAATCAGATCAATTTGTAAAAAATCCAAGTTGTCTTTAATATTTTTTCTCTTTGAATCTATCTATATTTACACATTACCCATCTAGTCATAACTTCATTACTTTAACATCTTTATTGAGGTATAATTTTATATATAATAAATTTGACCTGCCTCATATTATTTTAGACAATTTTAGTAAATTTATAGAATCTTCTAACCACCACCAAAAACATATTTTGCAACATCTTATTCATTCCTCAAATGTTTTTCAGAACCCTATTAATAGTATCTTAAACTGGAAGCCATACATCTCTAAAAACGTGTACTTTCTAGATATTACATATAAGCAAAATCATAAAATATGTAGAGTTTTCTCTTTTTTCTTAAAATTCTTATAATATTTTTGAAGTTTATCCAAGCTGTGACATACATCAGTATGCTAAATAGTACTCGATTGCAAGAGGATGTCACCCTCTTTAACTCTTTAAAATGTTATTTTATTGCTGGACATTTGAATTGCTGCCACTGTTTCTTTTGAGTAACATACTTTGTAAGAAAAATATCACTTATCACATAAAAACACAAGGCTTTCTCTCTTGTTTTTGTGCTGTTTTCTCCCATGCTCTCCTTAATGAGATTATCAACTTCAGACAAGGACACACCAAAAGAAGCTTTTGTCTATTAAGATGTTTTGTATCAGGCCCGGTGCTATAGCATAACAGCCCAACTCCTTGCCTTGCACGCACCAGGATCCCATACGGGCACCGGTTCTAATCCCAGCAGCTCCACTTCCCATCCAGCTCCCTGCTTGTGGCCTGGGAAAGCAGTCCAGGACAGCCCAAAGCTTTAGGACCCTGCACCTGCGTGGGAAACCAGGGAGAAGTTCCTGGTTCCTGGCTTAGGATCGGCGCAGTACCGGCCGTTGCATTCATTTGGCGAGTGAATCATTGGATGGAAGATCTTCCTCTCTGTCTCTCCTCCTCTCTTTATATCTGACTTTCCAATAAAAATAAATAAATATTTTTTAAAAGATGTTTTGTATCAATATGCCTAGTTACAGAAAACAAAAACAAAAACAAAAAAACACTTTATATTGAGAGTCAGAACTTGGCTGTCTTACTTGAATTTTTTTTTTAAGATTTATTTATTTTTATTGGAAAGTCAGATATACAGAGAGGAGGAGAGACAGAGAGGAAGATCTTCCGTCCAATGATTCACTCCCCAAATGAGCGAAATGGCCGGTACTGCACCGATCCAAAGCTAGGAACCAGGAACCTCTTCCGGGTTTCCCACGCGGGTGCAGGGTCCTAAAGCTTTGTGCTGTCCTGGACTGCTTTCCCAGGCCACAAGCAAGGAGCTGGATGGGAAGTGGAGCTGCCGGGATTAGAATCGGTGCCCGTATGGGATCCCAGTGGGTTCAAGGCAAGGACTTTAGCCGCTAGTCCACGCTGCCGGGCCCCTTACTTGAATTCTTACTGATGACTTCCCCTGCAGTTAAAAATAGTCACTTTCGGTATATGAAAAAAAAAAGCACTACAGTGAAGGATGTAACAAATTCAACTACTCTTACTCATTATTGTTCTACAGAATGATAGAAGGGGTGAATCACAGCTCAAAGTAATGTGTTATACTTGCTGTGGTCTCAATGTCAATAACAGGGTAAACATTTTTTTGAAAAACAGGCAAATTTCTCTGGTTATAATAATTGTCATTGACTGCTACATCCTAATGAGGTTCATTGGAGAAAACGACTAGGCTGTATCTAAACCTGAGCAATTTTCATTTGGATTAGAAACAAAAAACACAATCTAGCCTTTGATTTTAGTTCTACTAGTGTCAGTATCAATTTTCAAATAAAGTTAGGCTTCATTTGTCAATTTCAAGCAGTATACACATGTAGTGTGCAGTCTTGAACCCCATTGATTTCACAGTCATCAGGGTTGGCTGGGGAATTTCTTGTTTCAGAAGTCAGTATATCCAATTGTGGGAAACTCCAGTGACATTACTTAATGGAATAACATTATCTCTGATATTTGTATTTTTCTATAACCAATAAGAATAAAAATGTAAAATATGACGTTAGCTAATTAACAGTTTTACATATTTCAACCAGAATGTTAAAAGTTTTCATAGGTCCTAAGCATTTCCTTAAGTTGTATTTAAAAAAAAAAAACTGCTAATTTTCTTTAGCATCGGAAACTATTTTTAACATTTCCCAGGGATGTCCTAATAGTAAAACTGAAATATATAGTAATTTGATCACAGATGCATAACTCATGCTTTATATAACTCATAAGTTTGTATTTTCATACTGACCACTATTTGAATATTTAAATGAGCCCTAATCCCTTCTGAGACATTTCTCTCTGGTTTTTAAGACAATGCTAGGTCTGGAAGAAGTGAAATAGTCCAACAGGAATCAACACTTAACCACAGATTCATTGACCACACATTCAACCACATGATTTCATTTAAAACATCATCTTGCAAAAGAAATCTTAATCATAAAACATCTCTTAGCCAGCAGCTCTCAGGCCTCTAAAGTGCATTTATCAACAAGTAACCAAAAATATTACGCTTTATTCATATAGCTTGAGGTCTGTATTTAGGTAGTATTTTATCTTCCACACATGAGTGCATTAAGTGGATGGAATGACTTCATAATGATCCATCAATGTTAACAATAGCTGAAGAGGCTATTGCATTGATGTCCATAAATCTTCAAATTATGAATGCATGCAGCCTGCAAGATCTATTTTTACAAAATGAACCACTACAAAGTTAAAACACTGAGTTCCTGCTGACTCAGAGACGATATAATATTTGCCCTGAATAAATATTATGTGTCAGGGGCAGAGTTCTAAAAATTAATGAATTCCTTGTTATGGATCCCTCCGCACACATGTAACTTCAGTGTTGAGAATCTGAGAGGTATTCTATAAACAGGACATCTGAAAAGGAAAGCAATACATTCAGGATGCCTATAGCAAAATTGTAACTATGTAAAAATTGCTACAAGTCTTCCATTTGGAGATGAAAGAAATGTCATTAAAGTGACTGAAAGGAAAATTACTATTGACTATGAAGACAGGTTGCAAGGTCTATGGTTTGTAATGTTTCTGTATAGTAGATTGAAGTTTCAAAATAGTATTACTCTTCCTTAAATAGATAGACACAGCTGAATTAGGTGTCACTTGCTGCACTGAGGATCAAATGCAAAAAGAATCATATTTCATCAGACCTAGTCAACACTAGGAAAATAAATAGAAATATAAGAGGTAAGCAGGCAATGATTCATTTTGATAATCTGGCCCAAGAGAGACACATAGAGACAGCACACAGATCTAAGCTTCTACCAAAAGACAAATAGGACACAGAGGGTGGGAATCGGGATGACAGTGTAGCAGAGGTCACATCGATTTTCAGTAGCAGTTTTCACACAGATGAGATAACCCTGGACTCTATTTGGCCCATTGTTCATATCCTACCTGTCCTACAAGCAATAAATTTACTAGTCCTAGAAAGAGGGCAGTAAAAAAGAAGGATTCTACTTATGACTCCCGACGATTAAGTTTCTGTGCTAACCATATATGCTTTTCAGATCAAGGTCACGTTGCATGCTAAGGTTCACAATATTCCAAAGCTAGTAGAACTGTCATGTTTTCACATACTAGGAAAAGGTGGGGGTTCAGGCCACTAATCATTTCTTTATTTCAATCATATGCTACAAAAACGAATGACAAATATATCAGAAATTGAATTAAATATTAGAACTCATCATATCTGAATGGTCTTGTTCACAGCCTGAAAATAATTGCACTGTTGTGTAGGAATTTGTTAGGTAGAGCTGAGAAATACAAATTGGCAATGAAAGTGTAGATGGTAAACTACTCGAAATACAAATTGCCAGTTAAATAAGAGGATTACTTTGCAATCTTGAGAGAAAGGGTTTTGATTGAATATTTTGATTTGAGCAGCTGGTGTTCCAAATATCCCCAAACTTTGATCAACACATGTAATGCAACGGTAACAACTAAAGAAAGTAAAAACAAGGCAACAACTATCTAGTCAAGAACACGAGCAATCTCTCCATCTACTGAAGCAGAGTGAAGCAGCTTTTATTAAGCCTGTTTGTTAAACCTGGAAATCTTCTCTCATGGTGCTTGAGAGTCCACTTAGAAAGCAAGCTCTTAATTTTAATTTCTTGCATCAGGCCCAAATGAATACAGGTTGACAAGAATTTTATCTGTCTGGGAGAGAAAATGATAAGGATTAGAAAAATCCCAATTAAAATTAAAGCTAAAGGTCTTAAGGGACTTTCTGACTTGATGTATATGACTCTAGTACTTAATCTCCTACTTTTTCATGGAGTTAAGAGTTTGCACTTCCTCTAGGATTTGAGGTTTGTGATGCGGAAACAGAAACTAATACAGCTGACTCACCCAGCAATGGGAAAATTCACCTACCTACCAGGTCATCAGTTCTATTCTTTAACAAGTAAATTATATTCCATTATTTGATTTGAGAGTATTCCCCTAAATACATCTGGCCTAAGGGACACTCCTTTGTTGATGTCATTAGTATTACATTCAGCACAAGTAAGACACCTGCTTCCCTCTTCCAAATTGACGAACGATAACAACAACAGAATGACCAACTGCTGTGTATGATGAGACCTGAATGAATATAAGGAAGTACTCATAGTCTCAGCCGAACAATGACTCCTCAAGCGTATCCACCAGGAAAAGGG